TGTTTGGTTTGGATGTTAGTATCTTGCCTTTAGATGTTCAACAAGGACTTGGTCTATCCCCAAAGCATATTTTTCCTTGAATTAGGAAAATTTTTTATAAAGAAGAAATCCTTCCTGTCCATTAATAGGTAGGTTTTAGAAGTTCTGTTCATGGCTAATGTTTATCCTGTATTTGCTTGTAGCATCGTTGATAGCTGTTTTTCTTTTACCCCAAATCTCCTTTCCTTAAAGGTGGTTAGAAGTTGAGAAAATAAGGTACTCTCAGTGAATACCTTGTCTGTGTCCATGAGGTCTGTTACCTCTCTCTGGGTATCAGAATATTAGAACCTGATCCCTCACCCCTGAATCTAGCCATCCTAGATTGTCCTCTAGATGTTCTTAGGCTCCAAGGGGATAGAATCCTTTTCTAGACAGCTCTAGAAGTCTTCATCATACAGGCTGAGTCAGTCTTTCATGATCAGCAGTTTTCAAAATGTGCAGTGACTCGTGGAAACTCATAAAGGGGTGAGCTAGAAAGTCACTGGAGACTTAGCCCAGCTTCTTAGAGAACAGCCGGGAGTGTACATCACTCCCCCTGCAAAATAGGAGGGACTGGAGTAGCCAATTGGAAGCTAGTTCCTTGGCAAAAGGGGAGGAGTATTGAGAGGATCTGTACACTCACGCTGTTTACTGTAGTTTCATTTCACATGTTTAAGACTTGGGGCACGATTTTGTTGTTTGTTTCTAATAGATATGCTATCCAGCAGATCAGGGCAAAAACACCACCAAGTGAATTATCGATGGGTATTTTTATATGTCAAAAAAATAAAATGAAATGAAAAGAGACCAAAATATATGTGTCTGGTGAAAGGAACTTCATGAAATAATCCAAGAACTCTTTTGGTTTATTTATTGAATTTTAACTATTGAAACTATTCTGCTTTGACCATCATTCTGCTTGTTTATTATTCCTAAATTACAGTTTAAAAATGAGTGGATTAGGGATCAGCAGGTGGCGTGGTGGTTAAGGTGCTGGACTCCCATATGGCTGACCACAGTTTGAGTCCTGGACCTGGTGGCTTAAAAATCATGCCAGGTGTGTCTGTGCATGCCCAGAATCCCGAGAAAAAAATAGGAGAAAAAGGATTGCTGCATGGCCACCTCTCTAGGGAGTGATTTCTCACTGTCTCTCTCTGGAGAGCACACGTACCTTATGACAGAAACCTTAAGAAAAGAAAGAAAGAAAAAAAGAATGAATTAGCCGAAATTTTGTGCACAGAGCATTTCCAGATCATGCAGTAGTGCTAAGCAGTATCAGCATATTTTTCAGTGGTGGGATATAAAATGAAACTGGGCTATGATTGTCAGTAGCTCAAGAGCAGAGGACTCCTCGTGTGTGACATCTGATAAGCTCTCTCCTGAGAATCACCTGGGACAAATTGAAAAATCCAAAGTAGGGGGCTGGACTGTGGCACAGCAGAAAAATCACGATGCTCTGCCAGACTCACCAACATGGGAAGGTTACAAGTTCGTGTCCAGAGACCTCCCTGGGTACATTTGTCATGCATGTGCCCATGATCTAAAGCTGGCTGCAGATAGATTAGCATTGGGCCCCTGGTGGGGGTGTGCTCTCTCTCTCTTTGTTAACACATCCTGTTGGGGGGTGTGCTTTGTCTCTCTCACATGAAGGAAATACTGGATTGTTGCATAGAAAAATGTGTCATGACTCTCCCAACAATTTAATAAATAACCTTTAAAAAATATAAAGCCGTGTATCTTATCCAAGAGATTCTAATTTAGAAGGTGTGGGGTAGGATTTAAGCAGTTGTACTTTTTTCAACACATAATAATTGTACATATTTATAGGGTACAGTGTGATGTTTTGATACCTGTATATATTCAATTTTGTCACATGTATAATGTTCTCATCAGAGTATCTAGCATATGTATCATCTCAGACATTCATTGTTTCTTTGTGGTAAGAATATTCGAAATCCTCTCTTCTACCTATTTTGAAATATACGATACAATATTGTTAACAAGAATTACTCTTCTGTACAATAGCACAGCAGAACTTACTCCTTTTATCTATGACCCTATGCTTGTTTACCAACCTCTCTCCATCTGCCCCTGTCCCCATTCCTACTGCCTCTGGCCTCTGGCAGCCACTGTTCTACTCTCTACTGCCATGAGTTCAGCATTTTTAGATACCACATATGTGTGATATTATGCAGTGTTTGTCTTTCTGTGCTGGACTTACTTCACTTGACTTCATATTAAACTATACTTCTTAGACATCCCCCCAGTAATTCTTACCTTCAGCCAAGTTTGAAAAACAAACCATGTTCTGGACACTCTGAACAGGTCAGTCTTCTGGTTTTAAGTAGAGAATTGTATATGAGGCTGGCAGGTGGCGAGGTGGTTAAAGGCACTGGACTCCCACAAGGCCAACCACGGTTTGAGATCTGAACCTGGTGGCTTTCTCTCTCTCTCTCTGTCTGATCAAACTGAAAAATAATAATAAGAGAAATGAAGTTAAATAAAATATTTTTTTAAAAAAATAGAGAATTGTATCCAAATTGTAGTCCATAGGGAACAATTAGGGAAGAAGAATACTCTCATAGTCTAGAAGAGAACAGCTATAGGGGGAAATTCCATAAATTTACTGTAACCTATGTAAAATCCACTTTTTTCTAAGTAAGTCTGGAATGGAAGGTTCTCTCCTGATTTGCTGTTCGAGGGATGCCTGCTATAAAAATGAAGATAAAATCTGTGGGAACCAGAGGGCAAATATATTTATTCTATTTGGACCAGTGCCAGAACACCAGTAGATGTTAACGTGAAAAGTCCTGTGAAAAATGACAGTCGTTACACACAGTTATATTATGGAGAACGGACTCTAAGTATCCTCTGTCAACAAGTGCCCTGTAACTGGTGTGTGAAGTATTTACTGTAGACCGTCCTTTACTGTCAGTACCTAGCAACATTTCCTTCCTAAGATTGTTTTAACGTTTCCATTATAAAGCCGGTATTTTAAGGGTTGTAACTAGATGGTGGTTTTAATTTTTGTTTGAAACTTGGCAATTTGACTTGGAAAAAGAAAACACATACAAATTATGTGAAAGAGGTTTATTTATTTTTACGGTGAAAAGTAGCTCTTGTCAAAGCTTTTTCTATGCTTTGCTTTCAGATGAAAGTTTACAGGCCATTAGTCCATAATGTGGATTAACCTCATTTGGTATTTGTCCCTTTCCTTTAAAATGGTAAAGGACTGTTACTCACTTTGGTGAAGTGTTTACTGCGTATTGACTGTAACTACATAACATTTTAAAAATCTTATTTCTGTGGGACTTTGGCATTATTACTATAACTGCTCCAGAATATATACACAGATGACATAATGGATCCAAAGGAGGTTTTAGAGGAACATAGTAGCAAAATATGAAGTAAAAATCCATTTCCAGGACGGCAGCACGAAATAGTCCCATTTGCCTGCCTCATCCCCTGGTGCCATGGCCTGAGTAGGGATAAAATGAATAGTTCGGAGTTCAGGGGAAGCCTGAATCACTTGGAATCTTTGCTCCATTTTCAAAATTAAGTCTGCTTTAAAATGAAGGAAGAAAAGTCTCTTTTGGCTGCTGAATCTTTTTTTTTTTTTTTTTTATTCTAATAAAAGTAAAAACAGTCTATGTAATACAGGTTCTATGGTATGCTGAGTGCCATCTCTCATGTCAGGAATAAAGATGGATGGTCAACACTCTCTGCTCTGAGGGAGCTTAGAGTCTGCTGGGGAGAGACATACTCAGCAACAGCTAAGTGCAGTACAACCGGAGCCTCGCCACCAATCTGGTCCACTTGTTTTAGAAGCAAAGAGATAGCACCACTAACTGCCTTTTTAAAATATCAGGGTTTGATCTCTTTATGTCCAGGAAAAAAGCCTTTTTTTTTTTTTTTTTTTCCTTTTCTTTTTCTCTCTCACCAGATGCTTGTCTCATCTCATTCTGG